GTTTAGCACCCTGACCCTATAAAGCCTACACCTTGTTCGATGGATGCGGACTCAATTAAAAAATAGGTGGGAAGAGATGCATAATGTATAGCTTAAAACATTTTGTGCATGTAAACATTCAATAATCAATTAAATAAACAAAAGAAGAGCCCCGGCAAAGTTCCTTTTAAATAATTCATTAAGAAATTAATGGCAAGGACTAAAATATTTTTTTTTTATCCAAAGTTATAATGCTAAAAAATATATTTTTAAATTAAGGTACTAAAATAGAACTTAAACCAAAATTTCAAAAGTGAAGAATTTGCTCTAGTTAGAGGGATCAATTATCTATGAGACCTCATCACTTGATCCATGAACATTAACCAAGGAATTGTGTTGCTAACCTGTGAACGTCACGTGCGTGTCTCAAAGATCTACTATTTATAAAATTTTCTTTGCACCACTTTTTCAAGCTTTTCTCCACTTTTTCTTTGCTAAGTTCCAACTTTTTCTTATTCAAAAATTCCTCAGCAGATCGATACACATTGATTAGAGTGAGATGATCACCTTCCAGACTTGAAAAACATTTCATTTTAGCTCTTGCCTGAAAACAGAATAAATATATGGAGTTTTACCATAGAGATAAATAGAAGATAAACAAGACTTCATCATAGGAAATATTTCTAATTATTAACTATTGTTGAGTGAATGACACTAGCATGCTATAACTTTTATGATACGAGGACAAAATCTAAAAACAAAAGAGGAATAGAAACACATAATTTGTATAAAGTGTTGACTGACCTCTTCTAACTTCTCACGAGGGTGGTAAAAAATGGATTCAACTGAGAGCATTGACACAGTTATCAACATTTCTTCCAAACAGTTGAACTGACCGGCAACTATCAAAGCTTTAGAGTATATTGGATCTAATGGAATACGAGCCATCAAATGTCCTACTGGATTAGATAGTTTGCCGTCATGTGCTACAGCCCCAAGCAGAATCAATTGCTCCAATGACTTGAAAATAGCTTGCCTGTTGAAAATAAGGGTCAAGGAAACATTCCCATCTTTCAACCCCCACCCCTCAAAACCTATCTTTTCTTCCCTTTTTTTCCCACAAGTAAGAGGAAGCTAAGGTAGATAAAAGAAAATAAAAAGTAGTAGCTCCTATTCACTTAACACCTACATATAAAAACATCCTGCACCCACACATGAAAAGATAAACCATACAACATGCTTAAGCAATAAACTCTATAAAACTTGCACCTTGGCGGTTCTTCCAAGAAATCAAATTCCATGATATTATCAACGCCTAAAGCCTTCAACTGTAAGATGACATTAGAAAGGTTGCATCTCTTTATCTCTGGCTTTGTTGAATCCTCAAGTTTATAAAACATATCCTCAGGATACTGACGAAAGCATTTTCCAGGTCCTTCACGGCCAGCACGCCCACTGAAGCACTAGAAGATTAATACTAGAACTCTCACTAGTTAAATTCAAATATTTTTCGCTAAAATTATAGCCTAAACAAAATATCATAATAGCAATCATGCAGTCATGCTTAATCCAAAATACTACCTCCTTTGTAGTGCCTGTGCTTTTGAGGTTGGAAAAACAATCAATGATTCCATCCCTTTGTTTGGATCATAAGTGCGTGCTTTTACAAATCCAGGATCAATAACATATTTGATCCCAGGTATTGTCACGGATGTCTCAGCAATGTTTGTTGCCAATATTACCTAAAAAGCAGGGCCACCAGCAAAATCTTTAGGCAAGAAGAATTAATTTCAAATATGAAACAAACAAGGACTCTAGGAGATATAAAAAAAAAATGCAAGAATGTAAAGGATCTTTTTAGTAAGATATGCTGAAATGATAATATTTGACTGAGAGAAAGAATGGAAAAAGAAAATTTATACAATGAACTCTTTAGATACAACGTTGCTAAACTACCTTAAAAACTCCAAGAAGCATCAATTTCAAATATGAAACAAAAAAGGAATCTATGAGATAATAAAAAAAAAAAAATGCGAGAATGAAAAGGATTTTTTTAAAAATGATAATATTTGACTGGGAGAAAGGATGAAAAGAAAATAAAGAATTCATTTAATACAATGGGTTAAACTACCTTACGGACTCCAGGTGGAGTTGGGGCAAAAACTCGCAATTGTTGCTCCGATGGAAGGGCTGAATATATAGGAATAACTACTATGTTCTGTTTGCTTTCAGGCAACTTCTGAATCTTGTCCTTGGCAAGATTTTCAATAGATTCTATCTCCTCTTGCCCAGTTAAAAATGCAAGTATATCACCGGGACTCTCCTCCAAATGAATCTAGTTCACAAGATATGTGCGATAATACATTGAAATTGTTACATGAATTAGAAAGACAAAGGGTGTTCAAAAGTTTACATTGAAAACAAAACTTGACAAACAACAGTCGTGAAAAACATTTATATAATGAGCAAGTGGCTAGATAATTTACATGTTATTGTTAATAAAAGCCATGGTGAGAATTTAATAACTACCTGAAATATAGTAATAAGAGTGGCCTCCAAATAATCTGATACATGCTTACGAGTATAAAATATAGCCACTGGATGTTGACGCCCCTGGACACGAAGAGCCCTTGCACCACCAAAGTACTCAGAGAAAAGGCGTGCATCTAAGCTGGCAGACATGATAATTAACTTCAATGGAGGTAGTTTCCTTCCACGATATTGCCTGAGGGAACTTGCATATTTACCATTATTTCCATTTTCTACCACTAGGCCATTAGCATGCATGTTCTCGGCATTCAAAGAATCATTCAAAGAGTCATTCAAAGATCTAGATCTGGTTTTCTGCACTTTTTTCAAAAATCCTAGCAATACATCAGTATTAACTGTTCTCTCGTGAGCTTCATCAACAATGATAACTGAATATCTTGAGAGAAAAGGATCCAACAGTGCTTCCCTGAAAATTTATTAAAGCAACATGATACCTAAGTTAGAAAATTGTACAAAGTCCACATTTACCCTATGTTCTGCAAATCGTAAAGAGACAATTAGAATGTCAATAAAAAAAAAAAAAAAAAAAAAAAAAAAAAAAAAAAAAAAAAAAAAAAAAAAAAAAAAAAAAAAAAAAAAATACTTCATGTATTAGTCATCAAACAAATTTTATTTATCATGCCTATCAACAAATAGGTTACGTGGAAAAAGATATACATTGCATGGAACAAGAGGAGGGAAACAACATGAATTCAAAATCAAGCATCACCTTCAAAATACGAATACTCAAAAAGACGATAAAGAAATATAGAATAAAAAATTGTAACAAAACCTTATTCGTGCGTCCATTGAAATGGCAATTTGAAATGAAGTCAAAGTTTCTATATAGTACCTTAGCAATAGACCATCAGTCATGTACTTGATTCTTGTGGAACTAGAAGTTACATCCTCAAATCTAATGGAATACCCAACCTTTTGCCCCACTTCAACACCACATTCCTCAGAAACTCTTTTAGCTACGGTTACCGCAGCAACACGCCGAGGTTGGGTCACCCCAATAGCTTTCCCATCTCGACAAAATCCAGCATTAAACAGGAACTGCGGTATTTCTAAAAAACATGGATACAAATAGTTCAGCATAACAATAAGGTAACTACAAGTATAAAATTTAGAAACATGGGACAGAATCTCACGCGTCGTTTTTCCACTCCCAGTTTCACCAACGATGACTAATGTATCATTTCTATGCACCTCTTGTATGAGCAGATGTTCAACTAATCACATAAAAGAAATCAACAACTCTCAGGAACTTAGAAAAACAACTAATTTGAAATAGAAGACCAAAAGAATTTAGGTTAGTACCCGAAGCTACTGGGAGTGACTTTCTATGTTCTGCAATTTTTCGCTTCCTGCATAGCAACCAAAATCACGTCACCAAAACTACTACCAAAACATTGCAAGTTGTAGCCAGAAACAGGTTAGAACTATATGTACATGCCTGGAGATATTTTCGCTCTTGCAATCATTAGCTGAGACCTTGGCATTGACTCCGAGTGTTTCCATTGCCCCTGTAGTATTACAAAAAAAAAAAATGATGGAAAAAAAGCCAGTCATAATCAATTACAAAAAACTTATAACTTAATTTCCAATGGCTTATGTATAGAAGGGAATTGCCCAAATGCTTGCTAGTTTTTCTGAAATTAGTTATGATTTCACCTATCCGACTCCAAGCTCCAAGCGTAAACGGATACTTCAAGACGATTTTGAAAGCTCATGGGTTTGACTCAAATAAAATCAACCACAAAACCTTTTAGAAAAACAAATCTCACCTCGAGTCGTCACTAGAACCCACCGGAAAAGGGTCGTTGAGGGCCTGTAGTCACAGCCGGTGAGGAAAGAAAAACAGAGCCGCGCTCGTTATCGGAACTGTTGAAGAGAGAGAATGGCCGACCGTCGAGCAATGGTCGATGGGAGCACCGGCGTTGGCCAACCGCCGGCGGAAACCGAGAAAGAAAAGCGGATGATGATAAGCCGTCGCACGATGAACACTCCCCTAGTCGAGGGTGACTCCGAGACAAAGGGAAAAGAACAGTCGAGGGTTTAGGTTTAGGCTTACAAAATTAAATTTCATAATTATCTAATTATTTTCCTAATTAACATTAAAAAGTAAATATGTTTATTTTTTGGAAAAAAAAATATAAGTTATTTGGCTCGGTAATTATTTTCCTTTATTTTATTATATATTTGTAAAAATATATATAATAATTATTATAAGAAAATTAAAATAAAATTTTTATATAAAAAAAAAGTTTACCCTTTTTGTAACTACAGAAAAAAAAAAAAAAACAAAAAAACTCAGTCACCAGAAAACTCGCCGAGTTTCACGGACCCCACGCGAAACAATAGCCACACCTTGCTTAGCCTTCAGCCCACGACTCCCAAAATCGATCAAAGTACCTGAAAACAGAGAAAAGGACGAAAATACGAGAGAGAGAGAGAGATTTCAAATAATATCGGTGAGTTTCCAATTCCTCCGACGAGCCCCAAACCACCCTAAAACCGACGCCAAACGCTCAGTTACCACCACGAGAAGGATCCCAAACGAAAGCACAATAACTCAAGGTAAGTTTTGTGCCTTTTCGTAAGCGCCGTCATCGGTAATCGAGGTCGGAAAATTGGCTTTTCCTAAACGTTCTTAGATCTGTGGTTTTAGGAACTTGTAGGCCACAAAACTCCCAGAAAGGAAAGAAGGACAACAAACTAAGAGGAAAAGGAAGAAAGAGGACTAAAATCAGCAACGGAAACGCAGCGGGAAGGAGAGAGAAAATGCACCAGTAAATCGGCCGAAATTTGGTAAGGAAGACGAGATCCATGGATCCGGGTCAACCCAAACCCAAAACCCGAGAGAGCTAGCCCAACTTCTTTCCCTTGACCTCTGCCTTCGGCTCAGCCCAACTACAGTGGCCCAAACCTCAAACCAGCCAAGAAGCTAGGGTTCAGCTAAACCAACCCGAGACCAGACCCACGGTCCAATTGAACCGCCCTGCAACCCAAAACACTTGCGGCCCAGCCCAATAAGTCGAAGCCCAACGATTAGTTTGGCCCAGTAGCCTTCTGCAGCCCGCGACCCAAACCGAATTATGACCCGCGGCTCGACCCAACACTACCGCACAACGTGGCTCATTCTGCTGCTGCCACGTGTCACACAGAGGCTGATAAGATAAGGAACCACTACAAGGGGAGTAAGATTCAGATTACCTTGTTGATCGAATATCTCAAGGCAAGAACATTGTTTGAGATTCGAATCACTCCACAAGCAAGATTGATCATGTCGAGCTTGAATGATTTTACATGCAACCTAAATTACATAAAATTACAAATAAACTTAGTCATTGACTAAAGAAAAGCACAAATGTTTCTTTTACTATATATTTTTCAAGTCACTTACAAATACAACATACATGGCTTTATATAGCCTCAAAATGAAACTATTAAAGGCATTCAAAGAGTTGTAACATTCATACTTAATTACTATAATTAATCATTATGTAATTGTAACCTATAAAGTAAATAAAAAGTCTTAAAATACATTAACGAAATACAATAACTCTAAATTACTCTAAATTGTAATCAACCCAAAATTCAAAACATGAAACTTCATTTTTCTTGATGTGGCATGAATTGAAATATCTTTTGATAATTTCAACAATATTTTCTTTACATCTTCATTGAAGCATATTGTATGATTGATGTCTCTTGGTTCATATCACGGTCCCTCGGCTCGGCTCAGGCTCCCTCCGGCTGCTCCTCCAATGGCTGTTCGGCTCGGCTCACCTGTTTTCGGGCTGGTTTCCACTGTTTCGACCCTCCCAGACCTGTTTTCGGCCCGGATTAAGGTATCTGAGACCGTTTTAGAATCGTATTTCACATTTATTGAATTATTGATAAATTAATTGTGAAATACTAACGGAAGGTGGCGAACGGTGTGATAGGAAACAAATCCCGGCAATGTAGGAAGCAGCTCTCACGGAACGGGAGCTTACGTTTAGCTAATTAAGGAATACTTTAGCTAAGGCCAACCAAGTGATATGAACCAAAAGACATCAATCATACAATATACTTCAATGAAGATATGAAGAAAAGGTTGTCAAAATTAACAAAAGATGTTTCAATTCATACCACATTAAAGAAGAATGAAGTTTGATTGTTATAAATTTTAGATGGGTTACAATTTAGAGTAATTTAGAATTATTGTTTTTTAAGACTTTTTATTTATTTTAGGTTACAATTACATTATGGTTAATTATGGCCATTAAGTATGAGTGTTACAACTCTTGGAATGCCTTTAGTTTCATTTTGAGGCTATATAAAGCCATGTATGTTGTATTTGTAAGTAGACTTAGAAAATATAGTAAAACAAGAATTTGTGCTCTTCTTTATCCAATGGCTAAGTTTCTTTGCAATTCTATGTAGTTTAAGTTGCATATAGAATCATTCAAACTCGACAATGATCAATCTTGCTTGTGGAATGATTCGAATCTCAAGCAAGTGTTCATGCCTTGAGATATTTGATCAACAAGAATCATTCAAGCTAGACGTGATCGATCTTGCTTGTGGAGTGATTCGAATCTCAAACAATGTTCTTACCTTGAGATATTCGATCAACAAGGTAATCTGAATCTTACTCCCCTTGTAGTGATTCCTTATCTTATCATTTGGTATCAGAGCTTGAGGCTCAAGATCGGATATATGTTTCCTTTGCGTTTCTTTTCAATTTGTTATTCTTTATAGTTTTTAATCGACCAAAAATAAAAAGTCCAATTTGGGCTCTACTAACAAAATTTGAGAGGTGAGAATGAGAGATTCATTTGTGTAGATGAGTGCAAGTCTAAAATTCCTTGAGTATATACACATGAGAGAGTGTTGTGAGGTTCTTTGTATTTCCATAACTTATTTTTTGCAGCAAAGTTTCACAAATAGATTTGAAGACGAATCCTCTTGAAGAAGTGGAAAATAATATGAACCAAAAGACATCAATCATACAGTATACTTCAATAAAGATGTGAAGAAAAGGTTGTCAAAATTATCAAAAGATGTTTCAATTCATGCCACATTGAAGAAAAAAGAAGTTTGATTGTTATAAATTTTGGGTGGGTTACTGATGGTGTTAATATAACACATGCGGAAGCAATTTGGATCTTAAGCACTTTTAGAACATCAATTATAGTAAATAACTAGCATGTTCATAAATATTAAAACTTAATGAGTTTGAATACTAACCTTTTGTAGTTCAAATTCCTTTTTCCTCACGAACCGTTTCAAACCACCACTAGTGTCGTCTTCATTATCCTTCGGTCTTAGAACGGGATTGTGGAATACAGTGAGTGACTAATCTTGGGAGAGATTTTGTATATATGAAGAGAGTGTTTGTGAGAGGTTTTTCTCAAGGTTTTTCATCAAGAAGAAGATTTTTCATGTTTTATGATCACTCTATTTATAGAGTCATGTTTGCATGTTCATGCAAATTTGAGATCACCAAATTTTGACACTCAAAATTCCACTCAAATGTTTGGGATTATGTGGCAAGCATGCATGTTTGAGTTAACCAAATTTTAACACTCAAAATTACACTTTTGGGATTTATTTGACAAGCATGCAAGTTTGGTTAAACCAAATTTTGACACCTCAAAATTCCTTTAAAATGGATTTTTCCATTAAATGAAGACATTTTGACTTTCTTCATTTTAATTCAACAATTAATTTGAATAGTTAATTTCAAATTAAAGTAACATTAAATGATTAATTAAACCATTTAATTAATATTTAATATTAATTCAAATGTCAATCCCAATCAATTCCAACATATAATTGATTAAGATATTTAAATATCTAAAATTCTCTCTTTTTGTTTAATTCGTAAATAAAACAAAAATGCAGTTAAATATATCGTATATATGTAGCGCATATTTCTTTATTTGAATTCGAACACTTCGAACTCACTCGTCACATTGTTCTATGGTTTAGTCCGATATGAGCTAGCAGAGGAATCTAATGGACCTATAGATCATGGGCTTCAACGATCCAAGATTAACTGGTTAAACTCATTAACCTTGTTAACCAACATTCGTTAACTACTAGGACACTCCACTATAACCTAGTAGTTGCACTCCCCTCACTATAGATATATTTCTGTCCATTTGATATAACTATGATTAGTAAGTCGATCCTTCACAGGTTGTTCTTAACTAGAGTTGGGTCAATTTACCATTTTACCCCTAAAGTTACTTCTTGTTTCTTATGTCTCACTGATCCTTTAATCAACAATTGGTTTGTGGTCCAACAAGTAAACCGAATCCCTCTCAGGCCAATGAGAGGGTGGGGCCCCCTTGTTCAAGACCTGGAGTCAGTACTTAAGGGAACTATCTCTCTTCTATCTCTAAAAGTGGGTAGGAGAGAATTCCATCCTTCATCCCACGTCCCCAGCCATTTACCCAGTTTTACCCCTGAAATGGGAGGCCTATTGAGTCGGCGAATTTGAGTCACTCTCATCCATGCAAATCTAAGGATAATTCCAAATAAACAGGAGTTCATGGTTAGTTCAGGATTAAGATCGAGTTACCTAGGTCATCGAATGAAAAGAAAATCAGTCTCAACAGTAAACAACATTATAAAGTGAGAGTGATTTTCTTCATGGTCCGATCTTATGCAATACTCATTGCATAGGACGCCCCCACTCACATGTCTCCACGTACAATTTTAGTGATCACATTGTTTATGTCATATACAAAAGTGGGCCGCATCCATAGTGTCCCCAGAATAAGGTACTCAGTCTCAACAGTAATCACTATGAGTTACCTAGGTCATCGAATGAAAAGAAAATCAGTCTCAACAGTAAACAACATTATAAAGTGAGAGTGATTTTCTTCATGGTCCGATCTTATGCAATACTCATTGCATAGGACGCCCCCACTCACATGTCTCCACGTACAATTTTAGTGATCACATTGTTTATGTCATATACAAAAGTGGGCCGCATCCATAGTGTCCCCAGAATAAGGTACTCAGTCTTATCCTTATACTATAGATCATTTTGACTATATACTTGAACTTGATCAACTCTTATGTCTCTACATATAGTTCAAGTAATCATACTATAGCTAGAGTGTTCTTAGTTTATTAAATTTAGATTAATGATCGTAAAGTTCACTTTATTCAATAACAATCTTTTAATGAATAAACATCAATAATAACTTTATTGAAAATAGAATATGTCTTTATTTACAAACTATGAGTTTTAGGACATAAAACTCAACCGTTACAATTTAGGATAATTTAGAGTTATTGTTTTTTAAGACTTTTTATTTACTTTAGGTTAAAATTACATAATGGTTAATTATGACCATTAAGTATGAATGTTACAAACTCTTTGAATGCCTTTAATAGTTTCATTTTGAGGCTATATAAAGCCATGCATGTTGTATTTGTAAGTAGACTTGGAAAATATAGTAAAAGAAGCATTTGTGCTCTTCTTTAGCCAATGGTCAAGTTTCTTTGCAATTCTATGTAGTTTAGGTTGCATGTAGAATCATTCAAGCTAGACATGATCAATCTTGTTTGTGGAGTGATTCGAATCTCAAGCAAGTGTTCATGCCTTGAGATATTTGATCAACAAGAATCATTCAAACTAGACGTGATCGATCTTGCTTGTGGAGTGATTCGAATCTCAAACAATGTTCTTGCCTTGAGATATTCGATCAACAAGGTAATCTGAATCTTACTCCCTTTGTAGTGATTCCTTATCTTATCACCAAGTAAGTGACCTTACTATAGGATAGGCTAAAGATTGTTTGAATTATG